CTATTGGAGTTGGAATGAGATAAATCTAATAGGAGTTGGAATGGGATAAATCTAATAGGAGTTGGAATGGGATAAATCTAATTGGAGTTGGAATGGGATAAATCTAATTGGAGTTGGAATGGGATAAATCTAATTGGAGTTGGAATGGGATAAATCTAATTGGAGTTGGAATGGGATAAATCTAATAGGAGTTGGAATGGGATAAATCTAATTGGAGTTGGAATGGGATAAATCTAATTGGAGTTGGAATGGGATAAATCTAATTGGAGTAGGAATGAGATAAATCTAATTGGAGTTGGAATGAGATAAATCTAATTGGAGTTGGAATGGGATAAATCTAATAGGAGTTGGAATGAGATAAATCTAATAGGAGTTGGAATGGGATAAATCTAATAGGAGTTGAAATGGAATAAATCTAATAGGAGTTGGAATGGGATAAATCTAATTGGAGTTGGAATGGGATAAATCTAATTGGAGTTGGAATGGGATAAATCTAATTGGAGTTGGAATGGGATAAATCTAATTGGAGTTGGAATGGGATAAATCTAATAGGAGTTGGAATGGGATAAATCTAATTGGAGTTGGAATGGGATAAATCTAATTGGAGTTGGAATGGGATAAATCTAATTGGAGTTGGAATGGGATAAATCTAATTGGAGTTGGAATGGGATAAATCTAATAGGAGTTGAAATGGGATAAATCTATTTGGAGTTGGAATGGGATAAATCTAATAGGAGTTGGAATGGGATAAATCTAATAGGAGTTGGAATGGGATAAATCTAATTGGAGTTGGAATGGGATAAATCTAATTGGAGTTGGAATGGGATAAATCTAATTGGAGTTGGAATGGGATAAATCTAATTGGAGTTGGAATGGGATAAATCTAATAGGAGTTGGAATGGGATAAATCTAATAGGAGTTGAAATGGAATAAATCTAATAGGAGTTAAAATGGAATAAATCTAATAGGATTTGGAATGAGATAAATCTAATTGGAGTTGGAATGGGATAAATCTAATTGGAGTTGGAATGGGATAAATCTAATTGGAGTTAAAATGGAATAAATCTAATAGGATTTGGAATGAGATAAATCTAATTGGAGTTGAAATGGGATAAATCTAATAGGAATTGGAATGGGATAAATCTAATAGGAGTTGGAATGGAGATAAATCTAATAGGAGTTGAAATGAGAATAAATCTAATAGGATTTGGAATGGAATAAATCTAATTGGATTTGGCATGAGGTAAATCTAATTGGAGTTGGAATGGGATAAATCTAATAGGAGTTGAAATGGGATAAATCTAATTGGAGTTGGAATGAGATGAATCTAATAGGAGTTGGAATGGGATAAATCTATTTGGAGTTGGAATGGGATAAATCTAATAGGAGTTGAAATGGGATAAATCTAATTGGAAAAGGATACGATTGCTTTGAACATAATTCTGTTTCTGTAATGGGATAAACAGAGACTTATCTTACACTAAAATAATGTTCGAAAGTGCAATTTTGCGATCCGTCCTTATTTTTGACTATTCTATACGATAAGGTTTGCACGTGAATGATAGCAATACAGGATATCATTTTTTTAGAACAAAAGACTTTCCTTGCTGATAACATGGTTACCGTATTATTTCATGGTCAAAATATTATCAAATAAACGCGATAAAAGTCATGCATACGTCTTATTCAATTTTCTAGGAGTCAATTTTCAACGTTCCAGGAATTGGTAACCTACAGGAGATTAAATGTGAGCTTGTGCTATATTAGGACCTAGTTTGATAACAATTATCGAATTTAGTTACCTGTTCGCACGAATAGCTCGTCGATCAGAGAGGTCGTTATAGTTGCCAGTTGGACCTGAACTGCCGCCTTATTTTGGAAAACTTCATAAAGTTAAAATTTTCGGAGAATTATTGTAATTTGATTGGATAATAAAACTTAATTTAAAATCAATTTTATTGGTTGACCAATCAGTTTGCAGGGTCACTAACATTATCTTAAGTAAACTTTAGCATTACCAACAAACCGCATCAGGTCTCTGTAGAAGAACTGGTAACGAAAATGGCGCCTAGCAGTTTGAAGATCAAAGAAGGCCTGAGGTTGGTAATGATACTAATTGAAAAACAGGTGTATTAATCATGGATTTCAAATTAAACAAAGCACCACCAAAGATACAAAACGAATAATCTGTTAAAATATGTGTTTGTTTTTGGTTTTATCTTTGACTGAATCCCTTACCATCCACGATCCGGCAACACTCTTCTTTAAAACGTGTTCACTAATCAATCAAAAATACTATTAAAAAATATTTATTTTTACAATTCATTTAATAGGATATTTGACATTGAGCAGAGTGTTTGATTGGTTAACAAATTTAATGAACTAGAACATTTGTGTTGCATAATTTTTTATGATCGTGGAACTATACTGTATTTTGAATAAGTTATAAAATTAAATATTGGCAATTTGGTACCTAAACAATATTATCTACATACAGAATTGAGCAATAAAGCAAAAATTATCGTCACTCAAAATTCCCAAAACTTTCTTTCTGTTTTTTATTAGCTTTTATTTTTAATATAGTCACTTCCGTTAGGGTCTAACGATAGCCCACTTGAACGTTCGTCAAATTAACCTTTTGAGCTAACCTAACAAACACCGTGTCACAAAATACTACCGCTGGATAAAAATTTGATTAGTTCAAGCAGACAAAAGGTTAATTCGACGAACGTTCAAGAGGACTGTCGTTAGACCCTATCTGAAGTGGCTATATTAAAAATTAAAGCTAATAATTTTTTTTTTATTTTTACAGTCAGACAGAATATTCTTGTCTCTCGAAGCTCGAGTTTTGATTTTTTTTTTAAATAATAAAACGGCCGATGGGCGACTTCAACTTTATACGAAATGTTTTATAGCACTTATATATCGTCTCTCTATCTTTATGACAGTTATAAATATAGACATATCACTGAGTCAATTCTAAAGGGTGCCAATCGGGGGTTGATTTGGGTCTCGAATATATGAATATATTCTTCAGAATTACTAAAACTCAAACTAGAAATCTAGAAATCCAATATCTTTTTCTGTCTGCACTGGTTATTGTACGTTTCTGAAACTAAGGTACGATTGATCCAAATGTCGAGGTAGTGCAAAGATTCGTATAGTTAAATATTTTCGTATTTTCATACTTTATGTTGAATATTCATGATCTTTGTATACATTGAAATTTGAATATTATCAACATGAAATCTATCTGGGATGACACCTTTAAATCAAAGCAGTTTGACATTCGATTTGTTTCCTGAAAAATTTTGTAGAGAACTACGCAGTCAATAGGGGGGAGGGCGAATTAAATAGGGTTCTACGTTCTATTTTCTGAGTCTGACCGCGTATTATCGAAACTACCTTAGCACTAAGATGTCCTACTACCTTGAGTCTTGACTTCTAACACTATTGCTCATGAAGACGGTCAACGTCATGCAGTGGGCAATGAGACAACTTTCGCAGCACTAGCCTTTCCAAGACGTTTGAATTTTGTTGGACGCTGTCTATAGAACAATTAAAGACTGTTCTTCAAGTGAACGATTACGTCTCCTTTGCGTTCCAGTCCCGCCTAATTCGAATCAAACATAACTGATGGGTATAACACAAATGAGACATAAAATAAACGACAAGTAAAATTAACAAAATAAAACAAAAAATAAATAATGTTTTTATATAGAAAATTTCTATCACACAATATGCATACATTTGATCATACTTATTCATACTTCATCATACAGGAACAACGCGTTCATCATACAACTGTTGGTAATGTTTTTGGGATTCTTTGGCATAACGCGACACACAATTAGGAATCTTTTTTCCGTTGGCGTTACTTGATGAACGACCGACAGTATGGCCGAATCCCGTGGATTCAAAAGTATTTTTATGCCAGTCTTGCTTCTCGTGCATTTTCCACAAACATTTGGCCATGTTCCATTCCGCACGTCGTTCCCCATTCCAGGTTAACATTGAAGGTGTAAAAGTTAGTCCATACCGGTCACAGAAGATCCGCATGATGGATTCCGGATGGCTGATGAGATCCTCGGCGTCAATGACCATTGGTCTTTCACCAGTTGTTTTTTCTAAATGATCCGCTAAATCACATAGCTCCTTGTACCACACTCCCGACGGTAAAGCCAATCCAAAAAGCGGACCTTTGGAAACTAAGGGTTTTTGTTTTGAAACTTGCTTATAATATGATGTTAGTGATTTTAAAGGATTCCTTATCAATATGCAATGCTTGTAACCTTTTGGTATATATTTGTATTTGCCATCAACAGCATATCCCATATCTTTCACAAAAACTACCTTTTTGTCCGTAAATCCGGCCTCTAATTTTTTACGTACGCCACTGAACGTATATTCCCGTTCCGCAGACTGTCCTAATCCTAATCCGTCCATGCGTCTTTCTGGTCCGAAATGATTAGCCACTATATACGGTTCCACGAACAGTTCAATATCTGGAACACTTTCCATCGCGCGAACGAAGGCCGTTGAAGCCGATCGCGGAGTGCACCACAAAATAATCCTGATTTGTTTTTCCATTTCAATCTTTGGCACTGGAGCAATATTTTCAATATGTCCATTCTGTTCCACACAGCTAATGTTTTCAGATGCAGTGAGTCTGTCTTTAACAACAAAATTAGAATCCTCCGGAATCAATCGGTCTGCATCCACTAAACGTCCGTCCTGTGCTTGTCGTTCGGTGTCCATATTTCCTCGCCTTCCTCTGCAAGCTTATTGAATGTTCTACATATAATTGATTTAGGGCCAATCACAAAATACCAGTAGGCCCCTATATGTTTAACTTCAATTAAACAACTTTTATATTATACACTTAAGTGATTCACGTGACGTTGTGATAGTTCGTCATGTTGCTATAATTATACGAGCTCGTAGTTTGATGTTCTCCACTGCCACAAAAGGGTAGAATTGTTCAGTCTGTGTACCCACTCGGGTGTGCGATCACGTTAAAGTAAACATAAAGGTGTCACTTGCCTTTTAATAATCCATGTACATCGGTCGATAGATATGCATAGTTACCACACAACGTTCGAGCATTGGCAACGGGAATGACGATACTGTCGAGTAGCAACAAAGAATCACGACGTCATAAATACACCCCCTTCCTCCCTCAAAAAAAAAAAATTATGATTAACGGAATGAAATTTACCTTCTTCTCCTTTAAACCTGATTGGGCTAATGAAGACAACGCCATGTGGTTTGCAACGCAAGTAATTTCGCCACCAAAAGGATTCTCTCACACCGTGGACATTGTAAAATCAACCGATTTCATCTGATTTCTGAATAGTCATAGTCGCAGCCCACGAGAGACAGCTGGAAGGCCATGATTCATCATTTTCGGAGGTTAATCGCACGACATTTTTAGTTTTCTTAACTATGGTGTAGGCTGTCCTTTATTTTACAAAAGATTATGTTGACGACTCGTCTTTTATAAAAGTCATCATAATGTAGAACAGATAAGGACTGGATAATCCAAAAAAATCCGTACACTGTAGAAATATCAACTATACGAACAATTTTCGGATAACTTATTGTTCAGGCAGAGTGAAAAAAGGGGAAATGCCTAGGCTATAGTTTGAGGGAATTCGACAATTTTTGTACATTTCTAGTACTTTCGGAGGCTATTAACATATATTCAAGGCCCAAATCAAACACCAAGATGGTGAACCATGGCCTTTAGGTCAAATAATTGCACAGTTGTACTTTAAGCGATAGATCGTATGATTTCCATTAAACGTTTATGAAATACGGTACAACGCCCTAAAGTTGACTTAAAACAGAGAATACAAATACTTTTATCATAATGTATTTATAGTTCATAGTGAATATTATGTATTAAACAGGTAGGTATACATGCAATAACATTCAACCATTGATCCGTATTTTCTTTAAAGGATCTCTATCTCTTAGTTAAAACATAAAATTTAAATTCTTAAACCTGGCCATTAATTAAGAGTATTATATTCATCAGTGGACTAACCTAGTGTCTATACTATACGACAGAATCACTGTCTAAAAACTAAATTATTCAAAAACGCTAAAGTCCTTTCTAATAGAAGCTGTTTTATTTTTGATTAATTCAACACATATGCTTTGATTTTGTCAGCACCGTAGGTATATGAGCTCCACTCTCACTGTAGCGGGTTCCTCAAGCGGTCAGTTCATTCTAATGATCACCAACACCTTCCAGAACACCTGATGTTATTTTGCGACAGGTTTTGTCAACGAACCCGTAGTTAATGATAACTTGGTTGTACACTTTTCATATAACATAAAAATGAGAGTTTAAAGGGAAACGTGCGTCATTATGGGGAGTTAATTTTGGTCTTGAATATTTATATATAGTTTTCAGAAGTACTAGAAATGTATGGAAATCGGCTCATTCACTGAAAAATATCTCAAACTAGTAGTTTTATTGCTATTTTTAAATAGAAAGGACGAGGAAGAAAGGATCTTCATAGATCTAAGAGCACTGTACTAACAAAATGTCCCTCATTGAACACTCAAAGTAGATCATCAAATTGTGAGAAACGGTTATCTGAATTCCATTTGGCGGCCATCTTGAATTATCGCCAGCACCTTGGATTTTCTGATAGCTTAGAAGACAGATTTGTTAAAAGTGATCACGTTTCCATATGGGCAGTGCATTTTAGGGCCGTGACCCCTCCCCCATCATTCCGTGGTATAACCCCCCCCCCCCCCCCTTCCCCTTAGGCCCAGAAAAAATTCAAAAAATATTCTATTCACTGTTTCAAAATTGCTGTAATCTCTGGCTTCTCACGAAGGGAGTTTTGCAGGCAGAGGGACCCTAGGAGCACACCCTCCCCGCCATCTCTCATACCCGCCCCGCCCCCTCTCATACCCGCCCCGCCCTCATACCCGCGCTATATATACGCCACTGCATGTTTCAATATACATGTATATGCTAACAATATACATAAACAAGATATACTGATATTAATTGTGAAAAATAAATTCCTTTGGTCGGTTGAGTGATATTTAGATAGATATTTGAGATAAATTTAGTGCTCGGCTGTTTTTGCGGTATGCGTATTGTACGTAAAATAATCCAAAATTTGCTTAATAATTGACACAAGGCTCGGCGACGTACAATGTGTACAATGAGGGAAATTTGGTCTGGAAAACTGCGTTAGTCTTCCTTTTCTAAACAATTCTTCCAATCGAAGTACTCGACATTTTTTTCTAGAGGCCTAGTAGGGACAATCGTCAAGAGGGCTCCAAAGCAATTTTCCCTGGGAGTAAGGCGAGGGGCACAGTCGGCCAGTATTATTTCACAGGCCATGGCGCCAACCGGACCCCTCACCCCACCCCCAACAGCCCTTTCCTCCATAGAGACCCCACAGATCGGATAACTTGAAAATAGAAATGTAACATGTACATAAATAAAAATATCAAGAGTTATCTCCCTTTGAATGTAATAAACTAAAATTATTATTTCATTGGAAGGGAAGTAACTCTTGATCTATGTTAAGTCGAAGGACACTAAAGATAAAGTAGCTTTAATATTTAATAATTTGCATTCTAAATATCCTATTTTCGATTCCTCTGTTTGAACCAGGTACCACTTGGAATTGATAGTGTAAAAAGTCTCAATAGTATCATTTGGAACCACGTGATGACACTCTAAACAGTGGTACAGCACAGCGCAACGAACGCACAAAATACACAAGATGGCTGCATTCGCCTTTCCTGCACGTGCAAATTGATAATGGTGAGTATTTCAGTGAGTTGTTTACATTTGGTAGGTAGGTGAAAACCTTTCAATTTTCATGTTCACCATCAAAACAGATAGGCTAGACCTACTGGAAGTCTTCGTATGAATTTGTTTTGATAAAAATATGAAGCTGTATTTGGACATTGATAACCACACATCGTTTCTCCTACATGTTCTAAATTTTTACATATTTACCGACTTTAGAAGGTACACCTCGTATTAAACCAGTGGTCTCCAACCTTTCTCAGACTTCACACCCCTGGAGCAATCACCTGGACCTTTCACACCCCAACGACTTGTTACATCCACATTTCCAGCATGTGTTAATGTGAGGTGCTCTCTCAATTCAAAATAAATTCTTCTCCTAAACCAGTTGGTCACACCTCTAAAACCCTAGTCCCACAACCCAAGGGTGAAAACGCCCTAGGTTGGGAACCAGGGTATTAGAGACTGATGTAACGTAATTTGCAAACTGGCCAATCAACGAGCTTCTGCAAACATTTTGTTTTGTTTATTAAAACTACGAGGAAGTTTAGATGACGATTGTAGACGTGTTGCCATGACCTTTTTTTCAATCGGATCAATGTCACTCCACCCTCCCCCATATCTATAATCACATATAGCCTACTGTAAATTAGGTTGAATGGGTTAAAATTTTAACTGCTTTAGTCACAGTTTTCCAGACCAATTTGTTGTGGTTTCTTTACGGCTGGTAGTAAAGTACATTAGAAAAAAAAGAAAATGTCTATTAGGAAAGGTGGAAAGTTATTTTATAATTTGTTAAAGAAACTGCTCGTGGTGATAATTTGTCTGCGGTTTCAAATTTGAATAACGCAATTGTAATTGTTGAAATACAAGCCAGTATTTCAACATACTTTTCTTGATAATCTCCACTTGTGTTTTTAGACCATATATATATATGGATTTGTTAGAGATGGGTTTCTTTATTTTTTAGTGTTAAATTAAGCAAACTATTTGATTAATTGGTGATTCTGATGAATTATCATGTATTCTTAATCATATCATTATGTTCTTATTGCATATAATTAAGAGTTTTAACCAATCATAAATGGCCATGTATGTACAGTCTGGGTAAACAAAAAAAAAAAGACTTTTTGACCTTTCTTGATCGGTCACTCATTGGAATTCTGCTGGTAATTCTCTTTTAATTTAGCTAATTATGAATTAATTATGGATATGTGAGACAAACTGGTATTTTTCGAAGTCATTAGAACACCTCTACTTTCTATTCATTTAAGTAGTAGAATTTTCATTTTCATAAATAAAAATAAGGGAACCCATCTTTAACAATATATATATGGATTTGTTAAAGCAACTTTTGGCAGGATCAAGATTAATCCAATATACCAGTAATCCAGGATTTCTCATCTTCACATTGTCAAGCTATGACAAGCTCCTTCTCATACCTTGACATCTGGGCCCTTTCTTGTATCGCATAAGTTTGTATATGAAGCGAAAGCGAATATAGTCAATCACACAGTCCTGTACAAAAAGTCTGTGAACACAAAGCCATAATGTTTACAGCCTTTCTTACGAGGGTTCTGATTGGTTTATTCGCTGGAAAACAATCCAATCAAATCGATGTATTCCGTGGTACAAGAAATGTTGCTAATACTTGACATTTAGTCCGATCTGCCTATATTCCAGCCTCTGATAGCTGGCGTCAGTCTATCGAAATAGTTATATCAGAGGCTGGAATAGAGATAAATGTTTCGGTCTACTTGACATTATGAAGATGATTTTGATTTTCAACCTTTTAACACGACTTCAAAACAACAAAAGTGCTTCATGACCTCAAGGTATCAGACGGAGTTCGTAATTCCTTGATATTGTGAAGCTGACTTGGTTGAATGGTGTTTGAGTATTGTATACTGTATATTTGCGAGTATAAAACGCACCTGTTCTTGTTCTCTGAAAGTCTATGATACACGAAAATGCTAATTGATGTCAAGGTATTATAAATAGTATTATTTTGAAGATGTGTTGCCTCAGGCCTGTACATCTGGGAGTATTAGAATTCCCCCCAGACCAGTTGCAAAACTTGATTGTTCAGAGGAGCAAGTAATATAACCGGAGGGACAATTGGTTGCAGTAATGAAATTGGTCGGTTGTCAGATACTTTTTCAGGTTTGGGGGGGGGGGGGGGGCTGGGGATCATATTTTCGGAGGGGGTGGGTAATTTTTTCAGAAGGGTGGGTTGGTGTCAGGGCCTGATTCTCCAATCCCCAATATCCAATAGACAACATCACTTGGTCTCATTCTTTCTTTATTCAATATATATATTAAATAAGTAAATTAAACAAAAACAGGAATTTAACAATTAATATTCTATATATTTATCTGATTTTGCCGTAGCAGTTCCGACGGACTTAATCTTTTGTATAAGAACGATTCAGACAAACTGGCTTGGGATATCATTTTTGCGGAGCTGCAAACGCCCCTGGAGCAAATTGAGTTTGTAATACGTCTGAGGGAACCTTGCTGTAGCGTCGAAAAATAACTCATTTTGCATTGCAAGTGATTATAGCATAAAACCGAAAAAAAATTGGGCATTTTTAAACTAAGTAAAGTATACAGGGTAATTGCCGTATTATTGCCACAGATTTAGCATAATTGGTCATTGTGCGATATAGACATTGCAAACCCGTCACACAGTGGCGGCACCAGCCCTCCGAGACTAGGGGTACAAATAGGGGGCTGACTGATTCAATGGGGGACAACTGCTGAGGCTGAATTCAAATTTTGCCTTCCCTGTGGTGGTGTCATAGTCGTAAGTCTTTCATAGAGCGTCTTAGAGGTTTCTCTCCAAAACATTTTAGAAAAAATGAATTGATTTTGTGCATGCTGACACATATTTTGGAGAAAAAGGGTAGACATTTAGAAGTGAGGGGAACAATTGGGGGTGCAAACCACTTTTCAATTGGAAAAATGACCCCCCTCCTCCCCCCTCTGTGCCCCCACTGGCGTCGCCACTGCTGTCACAAGGAAGAGCTCAGGTCGACCATGCGACTGACAGATCCTGAGAACAGCTCGTGGCATCTGCGGAAGTCTGCGCAATCGCTGGATTAAGTCGATCTGATTTCTTTGCACACGTTGTCTTTGGATTGGCAGTTGCTCATGTTCTAATATCTGGCCTGGCCACCAGGTGGCCGTAGTATTCAGTCTAATTTTACTAGACGAGCTCTTGGCTGACTTAGGCTACGATGGTGTAGTGTTTTGAATCACCAGTCGACCTGAGCTCTGCATCCAAACAAAGTGTTATTCTTCTAATACACTCCTCTATAGCAGTAACATTGTCGTTTATGGATCGAAAATTCGAAAATTATACGTTTTTTCCCCTTAGTTTATAGGAAATCAACAGGCCTTAGCATTGTTCATAGGGGAAACATTTCGTCCTTGACCAGATAATGCAATTACAACTAAAGCCAGTTGATTTAAATGACATATTCGATATAGTAAATGGCTTTTTACACAGGTTGGTAAATCGAAGACACCACTATGACGATATCTTTCAGATTACGATAAGCTAAATACAAATAATGTACCGGGGTAACGATTTCCAAATATATTTTAGAAAAATAAAATAAATTCAAAAACTAAATGCACGCGTTCTGGACCTATTTACGACCCCAAAGCTAACAGGGGTATCCACCTTTTTATATCATTAGTTAGCTCTTAAACTTCACTGTCCACCTGTCCTATCATAACTTTGTCCAAAGTCGAAGCTCAAAACAGAGCATTTTGCTACAGGAAAGCTGTTTTTAGTATTTTGTTCAAATTAACAGTTTTTATATGTAAAACTAGAAATGTAGTTTTAAATGGATCTGAATGTTTTCTCGATTTTTGTTCATTTCGTTTTGTTTTTCTCTCAAGTCTATTCTTCATTTAAATTTTCCTCTGTGTTGAAATCAGTCATGTCCTCGATAGATCGTTTGGCAAATGCACTTAATTTTCCGTTAGATATAGCGTCAAATGGTCGTTTGGCAAATGCACTTAATTTTCCGTTTGATATAGCGTCAAATGGTCGTTTGGCAAATGCACTTAATTTTCCGTTAGATATAGCGTCAAATGGTCGTTTGGCAAATGCACTTAATTTTCCGTTTGATATTGCGTCGAATGGTCGTTTGGCAAATCCACTTAATTTTCCGTTTGATATTGCGTCGAATGGTCGTTTGGCAAATGCACTTAAACCCCCGTTTGATATTGCGTCGAATGGTCGTTTGGCAAATCCACTTAATTTTCCGTTTGATATTGCGTCGAATGGTCGTTTGGCAAATGCACTTAAACCCCCATTGGATATTGCGTCAAAGGGTCTCTTCTCTAAATAATCTTCTTCGTCTCCGACATCTCTCTTGCTGAATGTTGAGAAGCTACTTCCAATTTTGTCGAACGCCCGCTTGCCTCTGAATCCCATTCGACCTCCATCGATTGCATCGAAATTCCTCTTTGCAAATGCAGATAATCGTCCATTAGAAATTGTGTCAAATGGCCTCTTTGCAAATGCAGATAATCGTCCATTTGAAATTGTGTCAAATGGCCTCTTTGCAAATGCAGATAATCGTCCATTTGAAATTGTGTCAAAGGGTCTTTTAGCAAATGCAGATAATCGTCCATTTGAAATTGTGTCAAACGGTCTTTTAGCAAATGCAGATAATCGTCCATTTGAAATTGTGTCAAACGGCCTTTTAGCAAATGCAGATAATTTTCCATTGGAGATAGTGTCAAACGGCCTTTTAGCAAATCCAGATAATTTTCCATTAGAAATTGCGTCAAAAGGCCTTTTAGCGAATCCAGATAATTTTCCATTAGAAATTGTGTCAAATGGCCTTTTAGCAAATCCAGATAATTTTCCATTGGAGATAGTGTCAAACGGCCTTTTAGCAAATCCGGATAATTTTCCATTGGAGATAGTGTCAAATGGCCTTTTAGCGAATCCAGATAATTTTCCATTAGAAATTGCGTCAAACGGCCTTTTAGCGAATCCAGATAATTTTCCATTGGAGATAGTGTCAAATGGCCTTTTAGCGAATCCAGATAATTTTCCATTGGAGATAGTGTCAAATGGCCTCTTTGCAAATCCTGACAACTTTCCATTTGAAATTGTGTCAAACGGTCGCTTTTGGAACGCTCCAAAATCATTTCCATGACCTGATATGGCATCAAAAGATCTTTTCACAGCTGAACTTTCACCATCAACAGAATCAACCTTTACCTGAAAATATACAAAGTTCCACTGTTATTCAAAATTTTGATCGGACCAAGGAATTGGCTTCTTCACAACGGACTTTGTCTAACACCTTAACATGAATTAGCACATTATTGGATTGCACATTAGGATCCGAGCACACGAATAGTCTTGGTCGCCGATTTATTTCACCGACTGTAATCTTGAGTTAAATCTCTCGTGCACCCGCGCTTCCACGACAAGATTATCGCGTTGCCGACAGGATTTATAATATCAAACTAGTAAGTAGTATGGTATTTGTCGACGATTATTTCATCGTCTGCAAGGCAAAGCGTCAGTATACAATCAGATTCATCCTCCTTCCAACTGAAACTCTTACAAGACTGTTCGCAGTGTATCCAGTTTATCCACACTTTTCAGTTCAAACTCGGCCTACGTTCCGAATACAACATAAAGTATCGTGCAAATCAAATAGTATTATAAGAAAGTAAGCAATAATAAGCGAATTACTATGCCGTCTATAACGATTATGATAACCAGTCTGTAGAGTAGTCTATATTGTAATGATAAGACGGGGCTGTTTCACACATTAGACTCCATTCATCTCAGAGGTGTCAATTTCATAATCAAATTGTATAGAGTCTCGTCGACTTTCATTTCATTACATATTCGTCTACCAGAATTAACATAAATCACCAGCGTAGATCGTAAAAGTTACAAGAGTAAGAAGGGAATGAGTTTTAGAGCATGTGTATCTGCTTTGGATTGAGTTAAAGAGGACGGTATGCAGTGTGAAATAAGGCAAATTTTGCGTTGACAGAGCTACTTAGAAGTGTCAATCTCATGATCAAATTGTAAGCCGGATTGCAAAATTCAAAGATAAATCCAGTGGCGGAGCCCGGTTG